ATTGGAAATGTTTTTAATGCATAAACTTGGAATTTTAGGAAAATTTTGTTTTTATAATTTTCATGATTATTTTAATCCGAAAATTATATTATAATTATAATTATATGTTAGGGATTAGTTTAGAAACAACATTTAGTGAAATTAAAGATTTATGAATTTTCAAAATTTTAGTATTTATTTAATCCGAAAATTAAGGTTTATTTAATTGATTATCCTTTAAATGTCGTAAGGAATGGTTAAGGGAAAATGCCGAATTTAGCAATTAGACTTAGTAATTTTGATTTTTTATTTTGTGACACATCTCTTCTGTAAACTATTTAGGTTCTGACCATTAAAGTTTAAGGTGAAAGAATTTGGTCGAAGTGACGTGTCGTACTTGGTTTGAGGTAGGTGTTCAGATCCCAGTTAAGTTTATAAGTGCTTTAAAATTTTTATGCTTAATGAAATTTCATGTCTTTATTTTTTTTATTGTTAATTAATGCTTTAAATACATTGATTCTGCAAGTTTATGTCTTTATATTTTTGCTTTAACTGTTGGAAAGCATATGAACCATATGAAAAGCATTTGGGCATGAAAATATGATGCTTATGAAAGGAAATTGAACGGAAATGAAAAGATATAAATGGAATAAAATTTTCATGTTGCATGTTGATCCGGAAGTGCCAAAATGGTAATGGTAAAGGGGTTTACAAAAGCCAAATGGTAATGGGGCTTGTAAAAGCCAAATGGTAAAGGAAATGACCAAAATTTGACTGCGTACCTGATCAGTACGAAAAAGGATACTTCCGGGACGGGTGTATACATATGACATAAGTATTTTTGCATCTGCATTGCATATGAATAAGATGACAGAAAAGAATTATGAAAGGAATGAAATGTTAATGGAATGATTAAAGAAAAATAAGATTGAAAGTTTTAAAAATTTTGACTTGTAAGATGTTATGAATTAGTTTCTAATTTTAAAATGTTTTATTTATGCATCTTATGAAATTAATTGAGATATGAAATACCTACTGAGCGTTGGTTCATTCCTCATTTAAAAATCTTTTTCATGAGAGAAGTGATGGTTGCTCGACGACCTTATATGTATCGTCGTAGGGGACCTCTGGATGAAAGGTTCCATTTTATGATTTAAGATTGAGTCTTTGAATTTTAATTCTGTGATGTTTGTGAGTTGAGTTTGTATCTGCGTAATAAACAATAAGTGGAATTTATGTAATGTTGATGGATTAAAAAAATAAGTTTTAGCAACTGTATGTGTTGAACATTTGAAACACTTGAGTTTGATGTTATTTAGTGGCTCTTTCATGTATTTTGAGATGATATTTATGTTCTGGTCTTAAGTTTTAAATGAAAGTATGTTATGTATTATGCTCTTCCGTACGACCGACTGATCCCTCCCCGATATAATCGGGCTAGCCGGGCCGGGTCGTGACACAAATATCTATATCCTATGTAATGTTGGGGTATTTTATCAGATATCAATTCATTCTCCACCTCTTGATTTTGAATGAACTTCCTCAACCTCTAATTGGTGGCTATGTTGAACCAATATGACTATTTTTGAAGGCGTGTTGTATCGGACATGTATTAGACACGGATACGCCCGATACGACAAAAATGTATCCCTTAAAATAATATTTAAATTTAAACGGATATGTGTATCCTATTAAATAATTAAAAAATACACATAGATAAACAGCCCACCCAACGCCTGATTACGCCTATTCAATATTCATTTATGCAAGCAGGGCTAAGGCTTTCACATAACGCCTTCCGCCTTTTCATTTGCGGGAGCAGTCGACGCCAGGGAAGGCCTAACGAGCGTGCCTCTTTGTCGATTACGGGAGAAACCACATCATCTTCGTTGTTTGCGGGAGCAACCAACGCTAGGGAAGGCCAAATGAGCGGCTTCTTTGTCGTTTGCTGGAGTAGCTGACGTCGTCTTCGTCGTTTGCGGGAGAAGTTGTCGCTAGGGAAGGTCGAACGAGTAGGCCTCTTCGTCGTTTGCGGTACCAGCTGACGCCAGGGAAGGCCGAATGAACAGGGTCTTCTGACGTCTGCTTCCCCTTTGTCGTTTGCTGGAGCAGCCGACGCAAGAGAAGTCGTGAGCAACACGCGAGGAGCGAGTAATTCGAAGGAGCATGCGTCTAGCAAAAGGTAAACACAATTCATTCCATGCAATTGTTTAGGGTTTTAGAATTTTGTTGATTGCAAGTATGCAAGTTTGGATGGAGAAGTCGTATGCACAGTTGTTTCTTTGAATCTATTTCATCACTATTCATTGCAAGTTTATCTTTTTGTTGATTACAAGTATGCAAGTTTGGGTGGAGAAGTCGTATACTTTGTGGTTTCTTTGAATATATTTCATCACTATTTATTGCAAGTTTAGCCGTTTACCATTTTGTTTATTGCAAGTATGCAAGTTTGGATGTAGAAAAAAAATTTGTTGTTAATTTTCTTTAGATAATTTGTTAGAGAAATAAACAGTGATACATGCATTACATGTTGATAATTTTTTTTAGAACAGTTGCTCTCCAAATCTCTTGGTTCCCCAACCCTTTAGTTGTCAGTGGTCTATGTTGATTTTGAAAGTTATCGCCCATCCATGTTGATAACTATTATTCATGATTTTAATTTATTGTGTAGTGTTTATGTTATTAGGAAAAAATGTTGTTTAACTCTTCTCTAGAGCTATTGATTATCTAACTTTTGGACCTACAATTTGTGTCGATCCTTTGATTCTTTCGTAGGATAATGAGCTCTAGTGGTGTTGGAATTGGGATGGTGATGGTTCATCAGAGAAAGCATTTAATTTACAAATGAGAGAACAATTAGATGGAAAAATAACAATAATGTTCTAGTTTGTTGGCAGTCCTTTCAACCTGACAAGGAATCCACATTACATAAATGCATTTATTTTTGCTTGCAATAACAATCTCGCAAGTTATGTGCCACCTGGATACAATGCCATCATAACTAAGTTATTGAGAGAGAGAGAGAGAGAGAGAGAGAGCTAACATTGAGATTTTGCTTGAGTCAACTAAAGGAGTTTGGAAGGAAAAAAAGAGTTACTTTGGTTTGTGATGAGTGAACAGATTCATGAAAAAGATCACTTATCAACTTCATGGATGTAACATAGAACTATCTTATGTTAATTAAAGTTATAAACTGTGAAGGATAATATAAACATAAGTTCTTTATTGCTAATTTGATTAAAGAAGTAATCATGATGGTTGGGCCTTCAATATCATCCAAGTCATTATTGATAATGCACCAATATGCAGAGTTACAAACCTACTAGTAGAGCAAGTAAATCTTCACATTTTTTGGACACAATGTGTTGTGCATACCCTTAATCTTGCTTTGAAGAATATTTATGCAGCAAAGAATACCGAGGAAAATGAGATCACTTACAATGAATGTCATTGAATCACAGTGATTGTAGGGGTTATAATTGTAATTAGAAATTTTGTTATGAAGAGAAACAAGATTACTCCACAACGGATTGAAGATTTAGTTTATGTGCATATAAACCTTCGGTTTCTATAAAAAAAGACTAACTTATATGGAAGGAGATAACAAGACGTGGGATGTTGCTGGAGATGGATTTGAGTCTCTTGATAATATGGGAATATTGGAGATTGCTAATCTTTCACTTGATAAGCCTGAATTGAAAGCAATGATATTTATTGAAGATGATATAGAAGTCCAAAGACAAATCCTTAAAGAAGCTAATGCTATCATTCCTTTCACTGAATAGTTAAAACTTCATGCACTAGACAATTTATGTTTTTGTTTTTGATATTGTACTAAATATTTTATGCTTACTTTTATTTTGATATTATAAGCTACAACACTAAATATAATGTTTCTTTAATAATTTTTTTCGTCTTTTAAATATTATGCTATATTGCTTTATAAATTATAATGTTGTGTCTGCGCTGTACTTGTATCATGTACTTTTAATAGTTGATGTGTCCTATATCCTTATTGTATCGTATCCGTGTCGTCGTATCCATATCGGTGCAACATAGATTGGTGGCCAATCAATTATCAAGCCATGAAGCACAAGAGAAAAATTCTCAACAATAATAGTGGAACATAAAAACAAATAAAATTGCATTAAATCAATTAAATATATTTTGAAAAGAACACGATGAAATACATGGTGAATAACATGAATAAGAAGAGAGAAAAAAGAAGATAAACAATAGTAGAAAGCTCTCACTTTGCGCCATTAGAATCTACGTCTTCTTTATAATCTTAGCTGCCATCAAATCTCCCCAAAAATCTCTGAAACAGTCTAAAGAAAAAACTCCAAAAAGGTTTGGAGAAAGCTGGGAAAAAGTCCTAAAAAAGTCAGGACGAAGACCCTTTCAAACCCTAAAATCATTCTTAACATATTCCTTGAAAAATCCACTCTTGAAAAGTTAAATGTTGGTTCCTGGTTAGGGAAAAATGGGGCCAATGCCAAGTTTGGTGCTGAGGTGCCTGCCTCTCTACTCTTAGACTCCCAAAATTCAATTCTGTGCATTGATGTGACATTTAAAAAATGAGTCTGGCGCCTAGGCACTGGGGTTGGGCGCCTAGGCACCAGGGCAGGTTGCTATGCATGGTGCTCTCTGTTTTGTGGATGAAAATTTTTAGATTAAAGACCAAGGCACTTGGGCGTCAAAGCTCCCTAAGCTTTCAAATGCGCTTGATCTGTTGTAATTTGCTCAAACGGATCACAAAGGCTCCTTTTGCTCGTTATTATCATAAATTTGCTAAAAATCACACTCACCTATAAACGAAAATGCTTTTATAAGCCCAATAAAATTTTGAAATTGAGCACAATGAATTAGAAAAAAAAAGAGTCAAAGATATAAGACAAGGCAATAACATCAAAATATGCTGCGATTTTTTTGTTTCCTGAGATTTTGAGCTAATCATTCATTTCTTGCCGGGAGTTAACAATTTATGCCAATTCCATGCTAAAATGTAGTTAAATGTACAGGTCATGGCCAATGATGCATACGAGTTATCAGGTGAAACTGAGCCGGATTCTATGGACGATGAAGAAGATGAAATTCAGTTCAATAATTTATTTGTTGCTGCCACTTGCGCTATATATATGTATCATGAGAAGTACATATGGAAGGCTCCATCCATGCCATCAAAAGAAACTGGGCAAATGTGGGTTCTAAACGTGCTTAATGGCGATCCTTCTCGGTGCCTTGAGGCCTTCAGAATGCCAAAGGAAATCTTCATTGATCTTCTTGGAGAATTGGGTTCCAAATATGGTTTAAGAGGTTCAAGAAGCACCTCAATTAAAGAGGTACTTGCCATGACTTTGTCAGTTCTTGGATGCAATGAATCTAACAGAACTGTTTGCAAACGATTCCAACATTCAGGGGAGACCGTTAGTAGATATTTCAATGAAGGTCTTATGGCACTCGCTCGCATGTCCATGGATATTATCTCTCCCTCTGATTTTGAACCAAATATTGCAAGGGATACTAAGTACATGCCATACTTCAAGGCAAGTAGATCCGCTAGGTACTTAAACACTTAATCCTTTTGTTATTTGAAAAACAAAAGTAATAAAGCTTGGATTTTTTTTCTGACAGGACTGTATTGGTATAATAGATAGTACTCATGTCAAAGCTCGTGTACCTGTAAATGATCAAGTTGCTCACACAGGGAAGAAAGAGCCCCCCAAACAAAAAGTTCTAGCGGTTTGTGATTTCAATATGTGCTTTACTTTTGTCGTTGCTGGTTGGGAGGGATCTACAGAGGATGGGACAATCTTAAACCAAGTTATTAGTGACCCAGCACATAATTTTCCTGCCCCTTTGAAAGGTTTGTCTTTTATCACAAAGCTTAAAATAGAACATATAATCCTAAGTTATATTTTTTTGATGCAAATGTAAATATTCAGGAAAATACTACCTCGTGAATTGCCGATGTCCCATGAGACGAGGATTTTTACAACCATATAGGGAGAACGACCGCTTGCCTGATTTTTGGCCATTTTGTGAGTTCTCACACGATTATCAGAGGGTTTTTAATCAAAGACATTCTTCACTCCATAGTGTAATCAAAAGAGCTTTCGGAATTTGGAAGAAAAAGTGGATTGTCTTACAGGACATGCCTTTCTTTTCTTTTGAGAAGCAAAGGTTGATAGTAGCAGCAACAATGGCATTACATAATTACATACGCCGGCATCATAGTCGATCTGATCCTGATTTTCGAGAATATGATGAAAATCCTGAATTTGTGCCTTCAGAAACACAAAAATATCATGTAGCAGAGGACCCAATTAGTCAGCCTGGAGAGTATAATGGACAGGATGAATATGATTATAGTGATGAAGATGAGCTTGATTTTGAAGGTGAGAATGATGATACTACTATGTCTATGGCACAGCTGAGAGATCGCATTGCACATGAATTAGCTACAGGTGCTGTAAGTATTTGATGTTATGTGTAAGCTTTCATTATAATACAAAGTACTTGATTTCTTTTAGCTGTTATGACTTCACTTTGCTGAAATATAGTTCATAATTAGTTGGGTTCAGTTAGAAAATATGAATAAATGTATCTTTTTTTCATTGATTTTTTTTTCTAATTAAGAAAGTGAAAAATGAGAAGAAAATTCATGGGGTTTGCAGGCAGCCTCTTCATGGGCAATGTTATTTATTCAAGTGTTAAATATTTAGGCTTCATTTGAAAGAGCTTTCTCATTGATCTTCTTCTCATACTGTATTGGTTACTATTTTTTTACCTCTTTCACAAAATCTGTCTTACAAAGTTATTTTTTATAGTAATTTTTTAAAAAAATTAATTTCTCATAATGATTTTATGAACACCTTTATAAACCTCTAGTCTCTCCATATTAAATTTTAGTGTTTTTTTTTATTTAGGTTTTATTTGGGATAGTTTTTTCATGCTTTTTAAAACATCTTTTTAGTATAAATATTTTTTGAACTTAAAATTTTTGTACTAGAAAGTTTTTTAATAAGGAGGCTTTGATAAACGAACCCTTAATTTGATATGATAATTTCAAATCAGGATCATTCAATATTAAACTGATAGAAAATGCCAGCTTACTTCATATTAGTTATGGTTTTGGCTTTTATATATTTTTAATCCATTTTGTTGTTATTTATTAAGGTTTAAATATTTATTAATCGGCTTTAACAATTAGACAACTCCATATGACGCGCTTTTATTTGGTTCGGTTGACCGGATGCAAGAAACATCCGGTCCTAGGCAAAAAAACGCCTGTACCGAGGTAGCTTTGTTAACGAGTTTTTTTTGACTGCTACAAGCGCTTTTTTTGCCTTAGACTCCGGCATGATCCTCCTGCATCCCGGTCGCAGAGGACGTAATACGGCTCCTCCCGACACTCACGCCCACAAACCGCGCCTACCTACTTGCTCCACAGCGTATCATATCAATCTCCACCCCGCCCCATCACACGATTTAAATCAAACCAACGTCGCTACACTTCATTCACCACATAGGAACGCATATGCCATTATCCACGACCAAACAGTAGAAAATTCCTATATATAAATGCTATATTTAATTTAAGGGCTTATATAATTCTTTTCCTGCGCACTTTTATTATAAAGAGGGCTTATTTTTAATCTAATCTATGTATGTCATTTAGTTGAGTATGGTACAAATCATATGACGTTTCCAACTCCTATGGTATAAATCTGGACTGTTCATATATTAATTATGGGTTACCCGTACTGCGAGCTACATAGTGGAACCACTATGGAATGGCATCTCACCACCTCCTATTAGGAACAATTATTACGTCCTCACGACGAATGTAGAGAAACTTTCGGTGTGTAGGCCAAAAATCGCGCGGTACGAGGTGTACCGAGTTTATTGAAAAAAAAAAACCTCGGTTAAACACCTCCGGAGTTTACCGCGCGATTTTTTGCCTGCCGGACAGAATGGTTTCTCTCATTCGGTCGGACCGAACCAAATAAACTTTCGTTATTAGGGCTACTAAGAGGTTTTCGGCAGTAAGGAGGAAGTGAGTCTTAGGGTTGTTCAATTTTTTTTGACATGACCTGAAACACAACCCGAACCCGACCGAAAAATCTGGGTGTCGGTCGACCCGTAGTAGCAAAATGTGTCGGTTCGGGTTTGAAAAAACTGACACGATTTGCGTTAACGGGTCAGGGTTGGCGTTGACCCGAAAAACCACGATAAAACCCGATAATACTCGGAAATGAGGTTGCCCATCTCTGTTGCCCGGCATGCCCTCCCTTGCCCGCGGAAATGACTCGAGGTCGAGTCGCAGTCCCAATCGCTGTCTCGGCTCTAGGACTGGCGCTGCGTCGCTTCGCGATCATGAGTCTTAGACGTTCGCGTGCTTTGTTGCTGTTGCTGCTACCGGCCCCCTGCTGCTGCGCGCGCGCATCCGGGATCCGAAGTCGACCGACTGGCGCTGCCGCGTGCCGCAGCTGCCTCGCCCGCGCCGCTGCCGCTTGTCCCGTGCCGCCACCGCTGCCCCCTTGCGCTACTTCGTGACCGGAACCCTCTATTTTTCAAATTCTGTGTCAGGTCGTGTTGACCCGAACCAGATCCAGGTCGGGTTTGGGTCCAAAATTTGACCCGAAAGCTTGTTTTGATTCTCGTGTCCGGGTCGCGGTCCAGATACAGTCGGGTCAAATTCGGGTCTGCACGAACAGCGACCCGCCGACTGAATTGACAGCACTAGTGCAGCTCGTCTACAGTAAAATGTCACCAATAAAAGCGCATAAAAGTGTAGTAAAAGTGTAGGACTCATCAATTCGGGATATCAATGAACTGTTTGTTTGTGACTTGAATAATAAAAGCACAGTAAAAGTGTAGGGGGTGAATAATAATCACGTATTGGTGAACAGTAACCGTGTATTTACTAATCACAGTTAAAAACTGAATAGTTTCTGTACTTTGTTGTTCTGAACTTCACACGTAATAATCTCTCCAAAACTAGTGTGTTTAGCATGAAGTGGGCTTTTCAGTGAAGTATATGGCAATCGCTCAACCAAGTGAAGGACTATAGGATTTGCATGCTTGGGCATAGACAACTCGCCGAGCAGGTGAAGAGTACAAGCCAAAGAGATTAAATAGGCTAAAAGACCATGAAATTTGGTCTTAAAAGGTGAACAGGAACTCAAGTTTTGAAGGCCTTCATGGAATTTTCCTCTTACAAGTGGAAGCTGACTATTGCTCATTGAAGTTGGTAGCTTGCAGGATCTTTTGAAGATCAAGTACCGAAAAGAAGAAATCACCAGCGTTGATGACGGATGAATCTTCTAGAAGGGCAAGTTTGAATGGTGCGAGTGTGAACAATGCCTATATGTTTTTTTTTAAATCTTTCTTTTTTATCATTTTTGCAAGAAAAAAAGTACTTTGTGATAGAAATATGAATAATTTTTTTTCTTTTACTTTTGCTTAATCATTTTAGAAGAAGAAAATTTAAAAAGAGAAGATACGTGAAACAATTTGGCGCATTTAGAATAGCGCAAAATGTTTGTACGCATTCTAAATGCACCAATCTAATTGACATATTGCCAAGAGAGAGAAAGAGAGAGGGTGGGGAAAGAGAAAAAGAGAGAGGGCAGGCAGGAAGAGAGTTAAAAAAATTGAGCGGAGAGGAAAAAATTTGATTATGGAGCGATCTACTCCACAGGCGCCGAACGCATAACGAGTGTATGGAGCCCTTCCGTCGCTCGCCCAACTGGAAACGCCACAAATTCCCGCCAACTTTAACACAGAGCAATGGTGAACGAGTGCGACGGCGCAGAATCATTGGCCGCTACGCAAAATGTTCACTCACGCCATTTTTTGCTTTCCAACCCCGAAGAGACTCGGGGGCGACGCGAGACATGCGGTCCCGGGAGAGCCGATGCCGTTACCTTTCTCCAAAAACACCTAAAATGACGCTCGACGTTGGAAGCATTCAAGTCGCTCATTTAAAGATTTGCGTTACTGTTGCACATGAGAATGAAAGGTTTTCGTGGAAGATCCTTGCTCTGAGAGAGAGAGTTACAGATCATGGGGAGCAATAAAAAAGGGGTTTTACATACCCTAACACTAAAAACGTATCATATCTAAATCCAAATTTATAGTATTTCCCTCTCTACACCATCTAAAAACACTACCACTCATCAACAAAATACCACTCCGTCTCTCGCAAACCAGTCCACTCACCGTTCTTAATGTCGCGTGTTCTTCCCGCAAACAGCACATGGAAGAACTATGCAAAGTTAGAAACCCATAATAATCACGGTTTGAAACATCATCTTGTTGCAATTCTTCATCTTCCCTCTCTTCCTCTATTGGTACACATCATTCTTGAGGCCTCGCTGAAGCACCTGAAACATTAATTTTATCACTTGACAGGCACATAAACAGAGTAGAAAGTCCCACCCTAAGGACCTGGTGGAAGACGATTAAGATAAGAATGAGGGGAGCTAGACTGAACTGCAGGTTTGAACTCTACATGTGCAAAATCTTCTATGACATAACGTAGATCCATCCAACCTTCATTGTATGGTAAAATTTTTTCTTGAGCAATGTATAAGCCAGAACTCCAATGTTTTCTTATGAAAAGCTTAGTCATAACCATTTTCGCTCCATGAAACTTTATTCATGACCACATGCGGGTGAGGTAAAAAGCTGCAAACAGATGAAGTTCACGGGGAAGAGCCCACAGTAGTTTTGGTAGTCGCGGACGGCGCAGATGGACTTCTCCGACCGGCCCGTCTGGCATAAAAATGGTCTTGAAGGAGTTTTTCCTTATCCAATTTTACTGTAATGATGTTCTTGATGGTGAATTATATCTGCATCACGAAAACATAACTGTATATATGAGACAAATTTCTATCTTTTCTGTCCAAACTTGCGGAAATTAAAGCATGAGATTTGGCTTTGGGTGAAGAAATCATCGGACGGAGTTGCTCTGTGATCCGACTCTTCTTTCTCGCTTCGTGAACAACACGATGATGCCGACTCGAAAGCCGACCGAGGGGAAAGGAGCCGATGGATGAAGAGGTAGTTTCCGAAAGCGTATCAGATAATTTGACGGTAGCGTTACAGGGAGTGCTATAATTGTGAAGGGTGAAAGGAATTTTCATCACAGGTTGAGAAAGTAATAGCTCATGATTGAGAGTCTCGAGTAAGTAAATATTTAAGTGTAAGGTATGATAAAAAAACCCCTAATTAAATACAGTTAATAGTACTGTAAATATTTTAAATAATAATTTACAGTTAAATTGGACGAAATATATATACTTTTTGTAACATAAACTCTAAAGATAATAGAGCTTAAGCTCCTGAAGAGATTACGCTTATATTAATATTAAATATAATTGATTTTCAATATAAACCTGATATTAACTTGTTTATTTTTTAATTTAAAGATATATTAAATCCTTAGCCTATTTTGGTAATATTCTATTTTATATGTCGATAACGAGATAAATTTTTTTAGTCGATTTTATCAAATAGCAAACCGAAGACTCGAAAAAAACTACCTCTTTTTCCGACTTTCTGTACCAAATATCTTTCCACTCAATCCCCTAGCTGGAGGACTTTGAAA